ATTCCCCTCCCCCCCCTCCCCCCCCTCCCCCACCCCCCAACCCCCCAAAATTAGGCTCCCCCCAAAGTTGCTCCCCAAGTTCTACCCACCGTCGATCCCAGCCATCGGTTTTCCCTTCTCTTCTCTCTCTCCTTTTTCATTGATTTATTTTATTTTATTTTATTTTATTTTATTTTATTTTATTTTATTTTGTTTTATTTTTGTTTTGGGTGGGTTTTCTTGAATGTCCACCCGCTCCTGTGACCTCTCGTCCCTGAACTTGAACTGGCTTTCTAATCTTCCTTCAGTCGCGGGCCCCTCTATCCAGCAGTCGTGTTGTGTTGTTGTGTTGTTGTGTTTTTTGTGTTTGTTGTGTTGTTCCTTCACACGGTGTTCAGAGGAGGAGTATTTCTCTCCCCAGTGGAGGGTGGTGCGAAGCCAGCTCCGTTGTTCGCCTTGCTTCAGCTGGGCTTCCTTCAACAACCCACACCCAACACGCGCCTTTCATCGACGCAACGCGCCTGCAACGTGGCAAACCCAATCAATCAATCCATCTTCTCCGCCCGTCGCATTAACCAACACACCTCCCAACCACCCTCTCGACAATCCTCACTCTCCTCTAGCTCTCCTGGTCGCCGCCACATCTGATTATTCCTCGTTAATATATATATCGACCTAGCTGTATATGTATCACCAATCCCTCTCCACAGGAGCCGCAATGCGCCCGCTGCCTAAGAGAATCAACCCGCTCATCCTCCCTGAGGTTTCACCACCATGTAAGTGTTCCAAAAACCACCCCCGTACCGTCCCATTCCATCTAACCACCACCACCACCACCACCACCACTGCACAAAACCAACTCTCCTCTCCCCCTTGCGCGTTCTATATGGTGTTTGTTGTCCTTGTTGCCCAATCGATGTGGCGGTTTCCATGAGAATGTCCCCTATATCGATCCGTAGTATGATTGTATTATTATCCTTATTATTACCTATGCACGCATCTCTAACCTGTCATGACTTCCTTTTTTCTCTTTTCCCGTCGCGTTGTAGATGAGGAACTTCTTGAGCGCCGTCGACTGGGCAAGACAAACCTATCTGTCAAACCGGGCCAGGTAGGGACTTCCAACGCGACGAAGCCGGAGAACTTGGGCATGTTCGAATACGCACACTTGCGGGCGCCGCTGCCCAAAGACCTCAAAGGGTCGGAGATCTTCTCGTTTCAGCCGCCACAGACGAATCCGGAGGCATATTTTCTCATGGTGAGTTTTGATTTTTATTTTAGTTCTTTATTTTCAATTTATTTATTTTTTCTTTCCTGATAAATCACGACGGGTTTCTATGCGCATTGCCCGTGCACATGTTCATTTATCGACTAGATGGCTAATTTCGAACTTTCCTTTCTCCTCTCCTGCAACAGCGACGGAGCAAGGATGGCTATGTCAGCGCCACGGGCATGTTCAAAATCGCATTCCCCTGGGCGAAGCAATCAGATGAGAAGACTGAACGCGATTACCTGAAGAGCAGAAAGGAGACCAGCTCAGACGATATCGCTGGGAACATATGGATATCTCCCGATCTCGGTAAAAAAACCACCTCTGCTTCTATTTTGGTTTTTTATATACACATCCCCACTAACCCATCCCAGCCCTCGAACTCGCAAAAGAGTACGGCATGTTCGACTGGGTCCGTGCTCTCCTGGACCCAACAGAAATCGACCAGTCCGCTGTCAGCCCCGAGAAGCAGATCTCCCCTCCCCCCAAATTCAAAATGCCGACCCAGCGCTACATTGACACCATCGCAACCCATTGCCCGCAGAACTCGCACATCGGTGTCACCCGCCAAACCGGCATCCCCCAAGAAAACCTCTGGAACCCGCAGGCCCAGGCAAACCCGTGCGCATAAGGAGGCGAGCGCGGCTGCCAGCGCGTCGTTGCAGAGTACACTCGATGCGGCAGCGTCGACGGTTCCGGACGAAAGGCACCGTGCCAATGGGGAGGAGGTAGACGGAGAAGAGGCGAAGGAAACACCCGTTAAGAAATCGAAGGGGTATGCTAAGGTTGTCGAGAGTACGGTGGAGAAGGGGGGGAGGATTGAGACGCGACGCGTCGAGTTGGCAACGCGTATTCTCCCGGACCTGGATCTGGAGGAGGATACGGCGCAGATGATTGCGAGAGCGAGGGAGATGGTTGATGAGGCTGTGAAGGGTCGAAGGGGGAAGAACGAGGACGAGGAGAATGAGGAGGACGACGAAGGCGAAGACAAGGACGAGGGGGCGGAAGCCGAAGCTGAAGCAGGAGCAGGAGCAGAGATCCAGCCACCGTCTCCGAAACGGCCGGTGCTGGCTCGGAAGCGGAAGGTGGAGGACGAGGTGGAGGGTGGGCATTCTGGCGACGATGCTGACGGTGCTGCCGATGCTGCGTCGCCTGTGCCGGCTCAGCCTGCAAAACGGGCAAGGTTGCTTGAGGATAAATTGCGGAGGGAGAGAGTACGGAATCGCGCGCTTGTTGGGGTTACGGCTACGTTGGCACTTGCGTAAGTTTTATTTTTTATATATGTGACCCTTGGCGTGTATGCTGGCAATTAATGAATGAGTGGGCATTTTCTAACGTGTGTGATGGTTTGGACAGTGCGGCAATACCATACTTCTTTTAATTGTATTTTTTCCCCTCCTTTCTTGTTTTTCTTTTGTTTCTGCTTCTGCTTCATCTTTTTTTTTTTTTCTTTTTTCTTCCTTTTTTTTTTTTTTTTTTAGAAAGTTTCGGACTACATTTTCCCTTTCAGTTGTCATACATAAAATAGGAAGACAAAAAAAATGGGAAGAAGAAAGGGTTGAGAGGCATTCGTGATGCGATGCTCAACCTATCTCCCCCAATCCCCCTTTCCCCGCCTCATCCCCCCTAACCCCCTCCCTTTTCGCAACCTTGGAAGAGGTTATTTTCATTTCTCCAGAGCAATCTCAAAAGGCGGCTCTCTTTAATATACTCCTGTCGTTTTTATTACCGAAGAAAGTAAACTCCCTCTTCCCCCGGGGCCCCATTCATCCGATCTTCTTCTCCCCCCTGCCCCTTTCTCGCGGCCCCGTTACTACAACTTGACAACCATTACTTTTTAAGTACCCTTTACTCTTACCACCGTCTCATTTTCACATATCCCCTTTCCTCTTTTTCAATCTCCCTTTTTTCTTTATTTTCGTATATTTTGCCAACGGATTATGGATGTTGTTTTTGGTGTCTCGAGTCTGTTCTTTTTCTCTTCTTTCCTTTCCTTTCTTTCGCTTTTCGTTTGAAATCGCCTGCTATTATTTCAATGTTTTGTTAATTAAAATTGGTTTTTGCTTTTCCTTTTCAATCTTCTGCTCTTTTGAAATGAGCCACACAGCACACACATGCCTGCCCATGTACAGGTTTTTATTATTTATCATTATTATTATAATTCATTCTGTTTTCCCATTTTTAGTTTATGCTACTCTTTCTATCTCCTATGATACTTTATCTAACCATATACATAACACCTTCATCCCATCCCCCAATTCAACCTCATTATAATCTGTAACAATTTGCCGCCCTCTACTTTCCAGTGAATGAGCGAAAAGATATGGGCCCCCTTCTAATTAATACCATTCAACCCTTTAAACGGCACCTTTCCTTGCAAGCTTCCCAGCCTTCGCCAACTTTTTGAACCAATAACCCCCTGAACTACCTGGGGACGTTAGCATTGACATAGGCTACCCACGACACGAACAAGCGCCCATCCCTGCAGCAACATGTGCTCTTGCAACCAAGTTCCATACTGCTCGACCCATAATAAAGTGGGTCGTTGGATAATATCGGTGGTCTATCAGAGTGTAGAGTGTAGTGTGTGTATGTTCTGGATGCATGTTAGTCGATGGAAGATAGAAGATAGGGGGGATTGCGACACAATGCTTCGTTCGCACTTGGCTTGAATCAAGCGCTCAAAGGGAGACAGTCGTGCATACGTGGGGGTTTAGCCGTGCTGTAGTTAGTAAAGCGTTCAAGCACCGTATTGGGCTGGGGGAGTTTCTATTCTAGCTACAAACCAACTCGACGCAGAGGGCAAGGATTGAAGATACAAAAATGCCCTCCCCCCAACTTTTCCCACCAAAAAATATGAAGGACTGATGAGAAAAGAGTCCCTATATTGGATTTCCTCTCGTGTCAAATGGGGGGGCATTCTTCTTCCAAGGCGCTTTGACGCTTTGCCCTTTGAGATGCGTCCGTCTGTCTCAGAGCTCAAGTTTGAAGCTCCACGTAAATGACCAAGGTCAGCACTGTATCGCTCCACAGCCGCGACCTCCCCCCCCCCCCACCTAATCTCATCAGCAACAATTGTTAAGAATTCCATTGTTTGACTTCAAGATACGCCGCGTCATCATGGAGGATTGATTGACCAATGGGTCCTCGAGCGAATTCGCTCCAAATTTGGACCCAGTGACCTGATGATCCTTTATCATCAATTGTCACTTTCGATGAAAACTCTCTGGCTAACATTGGTTCAGGCGGATAGAGTAGATTGCCCTTTGCCCTTAGACCGTCGCTGGATGATCTAGTTTGGGAGGAGAGTTGGAAAGGCTGAGAGTACAGAGCATGGCAACGAAGAATGATAGACCGCAATCCGAAGGAAGAAAGAATACCTACCTGGGAATGCTGAGCGATGATAAGTTTTCGACACAGAATGAAGATTCCGGGGTTAGTTAATCAGATGAAGTTATTATATAATACGGTATCAAAGTGGGACCGTGTTAGATTGATAAGATTGATCAGATATGGAGTCACATGACCCTCTTGAACAGATGCGCCGCATTTCCATTCGGCGGCAGATAAACAAGACGAACTGCATGCATTCGAAAAAGCTGCAGCTAACAATCTCCAGAGCTTGGATTCCATTATGCCTTTGTTTTCATCTCCTGTCTAACATAACTTCGATTTTACCATGTCTCTCCCTGGCTTAGAGCTCACCCAAGCTACCGTAGAAGAGCGGAGTAAGCCGGCAGCCCCGGTACAACATAGCCTCTCTAGGGGATCGGAATGGAGATTTGAAGTCGCATTTGGCCAGATTGTAAGAGTGAAGGTACGCCATTGACCCGGCATTCACATTTGCATCTTTATGCTTGACCCTGCCGAGCAATTCCAACTGACATGGTCGCAATTCTCAAAAGCTCCTCGCCGGCACCGCAGAGCTCTTTGGCACCGAACTTGCCGCCTCCCAAACATATACCTTCTCCGGGACCAAAGCCGCTATATACACTTGGCATGGCTGCACGTTGGAAGTAAGCGCCGGCGACCCCATCGCCATTGGCGGGTTGGGCAGCACGCCTCCATCTCCCGGCTCCGGCAGTGGCGGGTGCCAGGTGGAATACATAGCGGAGGAGACGCCCATGGCTGAGTATGTCAATATTCATGCTGCGCTTGAGACTATGCGCGAGGAAGCCAAGGCAGCCGGCTGTGAAGGTCCGCGAGTACTCATTCTGGGACCGGAGGATGCGGGCAAGACCAGCTTGACAAAGATCCTTACGGGATATGCGACGAAGAGGGACAGACAGCCTGTTGTCGTAAATCTCGACCCGTCGGAGGGGATGCTGAGTGTCCCTGGAAGCTTGACGGCGACGGCGTTCCGGTCTATGATTGATGTGGAGGAGGGATGGGGGAGTAGTCCTATGTCTGGGCCGAGTCCAATACCTGTCAAGCTACCACTTGTGTATTTTTATGGGCTGTCCAGTCCGCTGGATGCGGAGGGTCAGCTGTACAAACCTATTGTGTCAAGGCTGGCGTTAGCGGTTGCTGGGAGGTTGGTGGAGGATAGGGATGCAAAGGAAGCTGGGATTATTATTGATACCCCTGGAATTCTTGGGCAAGGGAAGGGAGATGATGTTATTCATCATATTATTACAGAGTTTTCAGGTATGGGAAAGCCATACTGCTTTTTCCCAGAACAATTTCGTCTGTACTAACATCACCTGCGAAACAGTCACGACAATCCTAGTCCTCGGCTCTGAACGTCTCTACAGCTCCATGGTGAAAAACTATGACAACAAACCCATCTCCGCTTCCACCTCCACATCGAATTCCACTACCAGCCCCTCGACCCTGGATCACATCTCCGTCGTCAAAGTGACGAAATCCGGAGGCAGCGTCGACCGCGACGCTTCCTTCATGAAAAACGTCCGCGAATGGCAAATGCGCTCCTATTTCTTCGGCAACCCCATCCCCTCCATCGCCTCCTCAGCTCTATCCCTCTCCGCCACCTCCTCAGGAACAACAATATCCCTCTCCCCGCACGCACAACAGCTCGACTTCGATTCCCTATCCATCTACACCATCACCGCCACTTCAGACGACGATGACGAATACGACCCCTCCTCCTTCAGCGTGAACGGATCCTCCTTCTTACCCGGTGGCATCCACGACCATGACAACGGTACCAATCCCCAAACACAGCAGCAGCTTCAACAATCCATAGACCCCACCACAGCATCCTCGTCCCTCCTCCCCATTCCGGGACTCTCATCTGCCTCCACCACATCACCCTCATCACCTTTACACGCCTACATCCCCCTGAAGAAATTGCCGCCTTCAACTATTTCACCCATTCCACTAGCTCTGGAAAATACCCTTCTGGCAGTCACCCATGCGGCGCCAAACGCACCGCTCAATGAGATCCGCGACGCGAGCGTCATGGGCTTCGTCTATGTCGCAAGCGTGGATGAGAAGAAGGCGAAGATTAGAGTCCTGGCACCTGTGGGGGGGAGGGTGCCGGGCAGAGCTATGATTTGGGGGAAGAAATGGCCGGGGGAGTTGGTGGGTTTGGTTGGCTGATCTCGGGAAAGCTGGCAAGGTTGATTTTAAGAGAGTGGAGGGTAAGGGTGAAAGTAGAAGTATAAAGGAATAATGAATAAATGAAAATATTTTTTTTTTTAACTTGTTATTTTTTGAGGTTTGAATGATTCAAAAACAATACTAATTTATAATATTTTTGGAGGTCGTTCAATTGACCTAAATGACCGAGCCCTCAAGAGAGTATTATTCGCTGCAAAAACTCCAGCATACCACAAATAGATTTCATACATAATTATAATTTATACATTTTTTATTTTTATTTTTGTTTTTGTTTATTTTGCTAATACACTGTACAGGAATTTGTCAAGTCGTGTCATGCAATCACATCAAGTCATAGGTATGTTATGAAGGGTAAAGAGCCAGAAACAAGATGAGTCACTGAAACGCTAAGAAGTGGTAACGAGGGTGCTACAAATCGATTCGGAGGTAAGTAATATATTCAACATCACTCTGGGAAGGGTAAGGGGTCGGGAACATTCAGCGATGGGAGTAGTTGATGTACAGAGAGGGGTTCAAGGATATATGGATACATGAATGAAGGACTGGGATTGCATAGTACAGGAGGAAAATCGGGACCCGAAAATGAAGACATATATGCGCAGGTATCGCGTGAAGGAGCAATTCATACGTTAAAAAAAACTAAGGCAAACAGAAACCGATCCATGCAATAGAAGGTAATTCGACACCGAACAGGGGAACAGGAGAAACGAAGGAATAGTGTGACACGGGGAATGGGAAAGGGATAAACAAAACAATAAACAATCATTCACACCTCCTCCAATCATCAGCATTCCACCTCAGCTCCGCATCCTTGTCGTAGCCTTTCGCCACGTCATCCAACAACCTCATCTTCCTCTCCCGGAACGAATTCTCCGCCTCGTGTCTGCGCTGCGCAGAAGTGGCCAGAAGGTCAAAGTCCCCGTGCTGAACGGCCGCACGGAACACCGTCCTCATCCGCGGACTATATAACTGGCAAGTATACGGCTGATCCCTACGTCCAGGGACCATCTGGGGTGTTCGCAAAACCATCTTGCCAATGCCCGTGTGTGAAAGGTCGTGTACAACATCGTCATAGCAGTCCTCGCAGATGGTTAACTCCGGCAATTCTGGGATATAGTGCCACGGACCCTCGGCAAAATGGTCGCGTTGGCAGTTACGAATGATGCTCTTGCGTCGAGCATATCGGACGAATTCGCGCATGTCCAGTTGACCGCGTGATGTGGTCTGGCAACGCGATGCTGCGTCATCCAATAGGTCGAGGTATCTGACGAAGCGGGAGCTGTCGACGCGAAGATCGCAAATGCGCTCCTGAACGAGAGGACCAGAGCGGAAGGCATCGCGCAGCGAGGGCATGAGGATTTGCAAGTTGCGGAAGCAGGCGGAGCAGGCGTTGAAGTCGGAGACAGCACGTCCCGTTTCGGGATCTGACAGGCGGTACCAGGGTTGCACGGAGGGAAGACGGCCGGTACAAGGGCGGCTTCCTGGATGTGGACGGGTGATGTGGTAGAGTAGTTCGAGATGGTTGAGTTTCAATTTCATTGTTTGGACCCATGCGAGGCGCGCCCATGGCTGGCTGAAGGAACAACGGACATTTGCATCTCGGGATTTTGGAAGGCTGGGGATGAAGAGATCGCGGAATCGAGAGTTACCAATTTGATTCATGCAGGACGGGCAGATGTCGAGATGTGTTAGGCCCTTGATGGTGTACCAATCCAAATGGCCAGCCATGGGAATGGATCGGGGGCAGGGAGCTAGAGAAATACTGGGGGGAGGCGTTGTGACAGGTTGCTGACGACGCACTACCACCTGCGAAGGAATCATTGAACTTCGCGATCTGGACAGAAGATGTGGTGATGGCGTCAGTGGCACACTAAGCCGGTGAGATTGCTTGTCACTAGCCTTTCTAACGATCACTTCGTAGCCTGAAGGCAGCAAGGGGGGGGACAAGAAAGGCCCCCTGCGCCGGATGGGAGAAGAGTTTGTGCTGGCTCGGCAATCTCTGTTGGAATTTGGTAATATTGTCTTGGTCACATCTAAAGCTGTTCGAGTAATTGGGCTAAGTCGGTACCCTGTGGGGCTGGGAGTGCGTCGTTGCGGCGAATGCGCCGGGGATCGCGAAGTCAGTTTCAGAGGAGATGTAACAGGTGATTTGGAGCCCGACACTCGACTTCGCGGTTCACCATAGTTGCAGTTAATCTTGAGTGGTTGAGGATGGGCAAGACAAGTATAATCCTGTCTATATTTAACAAAAGCAGGATGATAGATATCCATTGGCGTTTCATCTTCATAGTATTGGTTCGAATGGCGGGAGGAATACTCCTCCTCGTCAGGCCTGAATGGAGGGTCGAACTCATGTTCTGAAACAAGTGCGCTCCGCTCCCATGGCAGCCTTTCCGTAGCGGGTTCGTCAGGAAGCTGAAAATTAACCTTCTTCTTTTTCTTGATGGGGACGATGCTTGGGGTTTCTAAGGCATCTGGGCCTCTGTAGGATATGAGTGCTTCATTATCACTGTGCCATTCAGCCTGTCTGCCTGCCACTTCATGGATACTAGGCTTTTCATTTCCCTCTGAGAAATGTCTGCTTAGCCCCGGCTTTTGCTGCACTGAGTATTCGGCTTCATTGACTGTGCATCTATAAGGCTGATGAACCTGCGGGGCTCTAGAGGATGATGCATTTCCTCCAGAACGAGGGGAAATTTCCGATGGCACATTACAGGGCTCGTATGTTCCATGTTGGGAACAAAACAGAGCAGACGTACCCGTCCCATGCTGTCTTGCCAAATCACTGCTGGGACTTGGAGCGAAGGGAGGGGTAATAACACCGGTATTTCCGATGGGTGATTCGTTTCCGGAGTTTGAACCGATTGGGCTTCCGCAAGCATCCGTAGGTGTTGTGCAAGGGGTGAGAGTGTCGGAGGGAAGGATAATGGGGTACTGATCCACAGATCCCCTCGAGATCACACAGGTATCATTCGACATGATGTCTAATACCGATGGGTCTAGTAATTCGCGGGAGAGGGATTCAGATTCATCTTCAACACTGGGGGAGGGAGGCCACTGCCGGCCAAGGGAAACCGTGGAGGACATTGTATAATATAGATTGGAAGAAAGAGGAAAAAAGGAAACGGGATCAAAGTGATGATATATAAGAGATAAAGATCTATATATCAAATGTAGTAATTGTCACGGTGCATCCATAAGTGGCGAGGCTAATATCCAGGGGAGAGGGTTTCCTATATCTGTCCTAGAGATCAGACATGACCGTGGAGAATCCGATGGCTCACAGAACTCACACGAGGTAACGGCAACACAGAATGGAAATTAAGGAAGAGATTTAAATATCCAGATGGCAGAAGGATCCGAACAGATAGGGAATTTCGAGATATCCAGCATGAAGGACCGTGGAATAGGACAACAATTATATCAAGACAGGTTAAGGACGGAGAACATTCAGTCAGTATCGAGAGGGCTTTCTATGACATTTAAGCTTCGAGAAGCAGCAGGGCAGATGGCCATATACGGGATTTATATACAGAAACGCAGACCAAGTACATGGAGGTCAGGCATCGTTAAAATCTGGCAAAGCGCTTGTTGGGCTTTAACGATGTCGAGGAAATCGGTCCTTCGATTTCCCATCTGACCACTAGTAAACCGATTAAAGCACAACAAGACGTAGAGATGGGAAATGGCATGCCTCATTTGGTCTCAGAAAGATCTCGGGAGAGTGTATACACACCCTAGTAGAATTAAAGGGCGTTTTCCCCATACTCAATTGCCGATCCCGCTGCAGTTAGAGAAAATGAGCAAGGGCTCACTATATGGAGCGGTCGCAATCAAAATCAACACGATAGGATCCTAGCTCATGGCCTTATTTGAAATCGCCTTCATCTGCCGACGGAGATGATATCGACGTGGCCGTGATTGGGATGTTTGACGGGTAATCATCGACCGGGCGTTGTGCTGGAGGCTAAGGGGAAGCAGATCCGCAACGAGAATAACAAGTGACTAGTGATTCATGGACATGTCACTAAAACATCGCCTACCCAGCTGTTACGTTTGCTACTGTCTCTGTTCAATGGGCGCTTCCTCCAACGTTGCCTTCGTGGAGCAATCATCACCAGCTGTCAACGCCCGAATCTGACTGGGCTAAGGCGTAACTCCACTGTCCACCAACAACGCAGAATAACCGGACCGGATCTCTCGATTTCTCTCTCGCCATGCAGGACTTATGCTGGATAGACATCATAGCGGAAGGCAATTGGACGCTATGCTCTGCTTGCACACCACGCAGCACGGTGCCTGTAAAAGCGCTGACGCTGACTGGTTGGAATATCAGGCGAGGCTGTGTCCGAGAGGCTGGATGCTGCTGTCGAATGCCCTCAGCCCTCAGCACAAGGGCCCTGGAGCCTGTCGCGTTTGTCGTCCACTATAACGGGGCACAGCACTGTGGGATGCCAGGCGGGCTATGGCGTCGATAGCGACCTAACAAACATCTGAATGCCTGCATGCCCTTCCAACAAGGTTGCTTGGGTGTCTGGTCCAGTGACTCCAAAAATTTTGGGAGGTTCATCCCCAAAAGAACGAAAAATACTCCGAACACACCACGGGAAATAATTTTTGGGGCTCGATTCGCAACCCAGGCATTGTTTTCAGTCAACTCGTTAACTGTCTGGTTAACCTAACTAACCAGAGCAAGAGGAATAGTTAGTTTAAAACTTGTTAAATCTTCTGCTCTTCTACCCACCAGTTCTCGCCTGCGCCAGCTATTCAAACACGGAGAGGGATACAAAAGCAAGCCGCCATTCTCCCTGGTCCAGGCGTTCGCTGTCAGTTCATAGAGACGCGGTAAATATCCGCCTTCTCTGTTTCGCAGCTTTATGCAGTGTCTGTGTCAATTTTTGGGTCCTGCAATGAGCTTGGAGGAAATTTAAGACCCACATGGCATCGGGTAGCAAATCGGACGCCCCGCGCTGTCAAATCACCAATGAGTTTTAATTCCATGAGTTGTGTGGACGCCTTATAGATACCTGACGCCTGTCAGGCTGTCCCACAAATGGATGATATGGCCTGTGAACATAAGGTCTCTTAATCAATCGAACGGGTAGGAAGGACTTTCGTACAGTGTTGTACTCCCTCCCCGCTCTATCTACTTTCAGTACACAATTTCTATACCAAGGACCGCCTCATCCGTGAGTAAGATCTCTCGGCTCTACAATCCTGGCCCCTGGCCGCATTTCTCCAGTTGTTGGGCCACATCGGATACACTGGCATATATGCGCGCACGATATCCAAGGGTCCTGTTCGATATCAAGATCCCCTGGAGTCAACAACGACAGTTCGGCTTTTCCCCACGTGGTGAAAGTAAAATATTGTTCATAAGTGATGATATCCAACATACCCGCAAATACAGCTAAAAACAGGAGTTTCATGTCTTTTCAGGGTACAAAGTCCGAACCATCGATACCCATGGTTCTGTTGCATTTCCTTTTCTACTTCCAACATCCAACAACATCCTTTTTTTTTCTTTTTCTTTTTTTTTTTTTTTTTTTTTTTTTTTTTTTTTTTTGATATCTCATATTCTCTTCTGATAGGAAGCTATGTTATAACATTCAACTAATATTCTTCAGCTGTGATTATTGCTCTTAATTATTTTTGCTTTTAAACGTGTGATACCTCAGCTTGCATTCTCGCCTCATTCTCACCCTACCCCCTTTTCAGCCGAAGAATCGTTGAATATCCGAGCAGTTCACAGCAACGGAACCCAAGCTATCCTAGTCATGTTAGTTTATCTCCTTCTCAGACGTTGTTCATAAGCCTGGGCATTTCATCGGTTTGGTGCGAATTTATCCTGCAAAAGCTGGGCATGCAGCAGTACCGTATCTGCTCCTACGTTCTCTTCCTCCTTGGCATTTGACCGTTGCATCGCATCACGGCGAACGAAAGACAAGCTCATATAACCTGAAGAGATCAATAAATGCAAGCAGGAAGAAGCTCTTCAAAAGGGGTGGAACTAGAAGCAGATACTTAGAAACTGACTGTTGACTAACTCTCTTTCAAAGAGCCTCCATTTTGAAGATTTCCCCTTCAGAAAAGCAAATATCCCCTCCTAACATGACCAGCTGTAACCCGCAATCTATCTAACACCATTTTTGACCGGCTGCCCTTCTGGTTCCCAAGTCCGCCGCGCACGTCCTCCTCGCATATCCCCATCGTATCTTCCCTTTGCATCTCTTCTCATCTCTGCTGATTTGGCCCGGGAACAAATCTTTATGATGATTCTCTCTCAAACCCACCGCACCATCTACATCGTCTTCACGTGCCTTTCTTTCGCTGGGTGTAGGGTAAGCCTATATCGCGCTTCGGCCTCTTCTCCTTTTCCTGCTCGATGCTTTGTATTTGAACCACATTGTTTGCTTCCTGCACTAAGAGCTCAATACACACACTCATCTTATGTGAGAAGACTCGTGTTTTAGGTTTTGATCACACACATGCATAAAGAACAAGAAAAATAAGACTGTTCGCATAACTAAAATGCTAGAGTATATCATTTAAAATGATAACCGCAGAATTGAATAACAAAAGGCTCCATGATGTGTAGATGCCCGCGTACTTCTTGATATCAATGATGACGGAGCACAAATTGAAGGAGACGAAAGACGCACGCGGTAAAAATCGAAATCTCATTTATCAATGATCGACCCAGGCCTCAACGGGGTTATTTCTAGTTATACAGCATATAATTCATCGGGATTTAGGAAGGGGGTTGTCGATTCTTGGGAAGACAGTCCAGTCTACAATATGCCACTTTTGCGGGCTCGTTCCACGGCCCGTCCAGATGCTCTCTAAAGGGGACTTTTTCTGTTCCGCCTGGATCCTAACGTGGAAGGATATGGTGAACCAAAGGAGCAGATGCAATTGAACTGTTTTTTTAAGTATAAAAAAAAAATAAAAATAAAAAACCTTAAAATCTTGACTCTGACCCTCTGCAAACATTTGAAAGCAGAGGATACAGAATATAACTAGATGGGAATGAATTACCCAAGTCCCTTGTAGGGGAGGAGGCAGAATAGCAGGTCAACATATCATCATGCAATCATTCACAGATTCGATGGATCTTCTCCAAGAATTTAATTCTTTCCCGAAACAAAACTGCAGTGGTGTAGTGTGCAGTATAAAGTTCTAAATGTGTTGCGTGACGGATCTCTGCTCACGCATTTAAATGTTGAAGTTGGTTTAGGGTGTAGAATGTTGCGAATGAGGTTTGATTCCCCGAAGTTGAAAACTATGCCATCATGTGAAAACCAACAGTTCGGACCGGGATGAGTGTGAACAGTAGATTTATAAAGCTACCAGGGGTGGTCCTTTTTGCTTCTGAAGCCGATCGAGCCTCGTGTGATGGAAGATATGCATTCAACATTGTGTTCACCAGCAATCCCGAAAACAACATTGGTGCTACTTCTTCGGCCCGGTTGGGTCGGGATCGACGGCCATATCGGCATTCTGACTAAGCCGGCAATCCGATTCCCATGTCTCTTCATCGGCTTGAATTCCACCTTCACATATCAAAGTGAAGAAAAGGATTAGAACGGCCTCGTTCTATTTGTGGTCGTATCTGGCGACTACTAAAAGGTTCGTGGGTCGCCATATTGGGCTGTGTTAAGTAATCGATTCAGAGTAATTTCTGTAGTTAACTACCAAAGAACTCAAAACATTCGGATTAGGTAGTTAACTTGCTGCTAAAACCACCTCTAATACATATCAATTTCAGTCAAACTTGAACATTCCACCGTCGTGGCCAGTTTGATATCCACTCTGAATGCGAAGCGTCTCAGCATTTGCCCGCCTCTCAGCGCTGGGGAACTATCTAAGGCCGTCACGCCATTTTCAAGCCGCTGCCCTCCCCACTACCCTCCAACAACAACTCCCACTACGCATTCCCTCTACTTACCACCGGCAGTCATTGATATCTAAATACCAACTCAGCACCATGGTCACCACCACCATCCCAACAACCCAACAGGGCATTCTAGTCTCCAAGCTGGGCGGTCCGGAGGTTCTGGAATATAGAACCGACCTTCCTGTCCCAACCCCAAAGGAGGGCCAAGTGCTGATAAAAAACCACCTCTCCGGCCTGAACTACATTGACACCTATTTTCGCACAGGCCTTTACAAATCTTCCAAACCGGAGGTCCTGGGCCGTGAGGGAGTCGGCACCATTGTCGCCGTTGGCCCCGGCCCCAACCCGAAGAACTTCGCTGTGGGCGAACGAGTGGCATGGATGGGCACGGCCGCCTATGCGGAGTACTCCATTGCCCTAACTGAGGCGCATATCGCCCGGGTTCCCGCAGGGCTATCGGATGAGCACGTTCTTGCGGCCTTGCTAAGTGGGCTTACGACGCTGACATTTACCAAGGAGGCGTATCCGGTTAAGAAGGGGGATTGGATTTTGATCCATGCTGCCGCGGGCGGGGCGGGGTTTTTGATGACGCAATTGGTGAAGTTGGCTGGTGCAAGGGTTATCGGGACAGCTGGGGGTCTGGAGAAGGTGGAGTTGGTGAAAAGTCTCGGGGCTGATGTGGTTATTGATTATAGGAGTGCGGAAGGGGCGAATTGGGTGGAAAAGGTAAAGGAGGTGACGGGAGGAGAAGGGGTAGATGCTGTGTTTGATTCTGTTGGAAAGGATACGTGGGAAGGGAGTTTGCAGGTTGTGAAGAGGAAGGGTACGGTGGTTTATTTTGGAAATGCGAGCGGGCCGGTGCCGCCGTTGCAGATACAGTAAGTGAAAACCATTTATCCCCCAGTTTGCTTTGCAGATCTGATCACGTAGGGTGATTGTTGGGGATTGAACTTTTGCTTACTGACAGTTGATGAAGGTTGTTGGCATCTAAGAATATCAAGATTCTCCGTCCAACTGTGTTCCCGTATATCCAGACACAATCAGAATTTGATCATTATACGGAAGAGCTGTTTGGCTTGCTGAAGTCCGGACAGCTGAAAGTTAGGATTCACAAGATTTACCCCTTAGAAGAAGTTGCGCAAGCTCACATTGTAAGTTATCTTGCACGTAGATTGTTGCTATGTGTTTGTTGTATTCTTTCTTGGTATAGTTGATCTGACCGTTAAGCCATTAGGATATCGAAAGTCGGAAAACAACTGGGAAACTCCTCCTCAGGCCGTGAGAAGACTTGCCAACGAAGCATTTGAGTTTGTTACGAGAGGACTGGATTATTGGGGCTATTTTAACTTTCCAATATTAAATAAACATTAAATTCTGTTACTGGAGAAAAGATTCAGGATAGCGAGCGAGTACATAAAAGGCAGAGGAGTGCAGAGGAGTATTCACGTAGTTAAGTAGTCAGTTCATATTTCCGTAAAAACGAACTTTGTGTTGGTCCTTGGTGTTACATAACAGCACTAGCCTGGATATTAACTACCAGCACGGGCACACCCATTAAACTCTGAAGTCCCGTTGCATACACAATGCTGACGGGGCAGCAAGCCTGCTAATCATCTACCACATCCTCCGGGTCTTCAGCTCCCCTGTTCCCATCCTCGCACTCTCTCCCTGAATTGGCCCAAACCACAACATCAGAGCGGAGATCCCTGGGTTTCTTCCAGCCAATCATACTTTCATTTAATAAGACGGTGTGAAACGAGCAGTATACAGCAATTGCTGTATCAAAGTAGTGCAGACCACAGTTTAACTCCCAGATAGACGTGTCGACTTTCATCCCCACGAAGCAAAATTTCAGCACGCTCTCCTCGACGAAGAACTCGTATTCGATTGGCTGCGAAGGGTTTTCTTCGGCAACCTGACCGGGCGGTAAATCCTCCTCTGGAAGCCCGGGATCACGCCACGGTTTTGCTCGAAGTTTACCTACCGGCTGCAGATCTGGAGCATACTGCTTGTAGAAGTCTCGCACTGCGCTCCCCGGCAGAATAATAGCAATAACCTCAAACCCATTCTCGTTCACACAAGTGACTCTCAGTTTTTGTTCATTGACCAGGTCTCGAAAACGAACAGCTTGCTCGTAAGTCCCTGCGCCGGCAACTGCAAATTTTACAACCTTCCTCGCAACATCGTCCGGCATCCCTGCGGCTCCTACTTCCTTGCTCCATTCCTGGTCTCCAGTATAGAAACCGTAATATGATCCGCCGAACAGGGTTGAACAGGCCATGTTGAAATTTCCCGGTGCCCAGCAGCTTGCTCGTTGCGCTTTCCAAAGCTCAACCTTGGCAGTGTCACAGATCACGCGTGCGGCTAGGATATTTTCGGTGTATTCAGGGCAGACATCGTGTAACAGGATGAAATTTAGGAAATTCCTGATGGTGCTGGTGGCCATATCAACGAGCTGTTCGGTTTCCAGCCCGATGTACTGGGGCAAGACGGATGACCTATGTTGGAGAGATGATCAGGAGGAGATGCTCTATTATGTGTCTATTTAGGATGGATAAAATATATATATGTAAAAAATTGAAGAAAACATAATAATAATGATGATAATAATAAGAGGTACTGCTGGAATGAAACAGGAGCCAACTTACAGAAATCCTTTCGCAACTGCTTCAAAATCGACATCCCAGTCCACACGATTTGCCGGGACCGAGGACTGAGCTGTAGCAGTCAGGATGTCCTCCGCGTCCTTATCCATGAGGTCATGCGGGTCATTGCCTTCAAACATTTTGGGTCCAACATCGACACCCCCATAAGACAAGAACTTCGTGAAAATATTTCTACGGTCCGAACTGATTTTTCTCTTTGCCTGGAACCGTTGGATGGCTGTTTCAAGGCGCCTATGTTCGGAATGAGCATACTTTGACGAGCACTGTCCATGAGAGGGATATAAATGGCCTACCGTATAACAGAAATGGTTCTTATTCATTATGGGACATCTAATTAGCTTCGAATCTGTAGCTGGGCACCGGCTCTGGGCACTGGCAACTCACAGGGCGTAACGAGTTTTGTTTCCCTCATACTCAGCGACACTGATGGGCCCATCGGTAATGTATTCTTCGAATCCCGTTCCCTACCAAGCATGTACCATCACGGAACACGTTCCGGAGATAATTTTTCGGCAGAGGTATGAAGGAGGAACTCACTTACCTTGCTTTTGCCTCTGGACTTCTTAGTCCTCTTTTTTGTCTTCTTCTTCGCAACGGTTGCTTCAGCTACATCCTCAGGGCCGTCTGGTTGCTCCGGGATATTTCCCCCAGACGCTGCCTCGTCCGTATCCGTGTTCCTATCGTTGGTAGCATCAAGACTACTAGCCTTTTGGCCATCAGTCTGATCATGAGCATGTTCACCAGGCTCGCCATCAGAGCCACGTTGTAATTTTTTGCCCCGAAAAGGAAGAGACATCGCTTGGTGGTTCTCCATCAGGGAAAGCCAACACCCTTTGTGGCTTGAAGGATGAGGTGCAGTGTGCAGTCGCAAGTAGGTGAGCGAGCGTAAAACAGGGCAAGGAGATGTCACGCATGAAAAGGGAGAATGAGATGGAAGTAGTTTGGAAGGAAGTTGAAAGGAGTGCAACACGACGATGGAGGTAGGATAAGGGCACCCCAGCTTGCGAACGGCGTGAATGCAGTTAAACACAAAGGAACATTGGATGTTGCACCTTTCCTCGCGTTTTCTGTTGCTATGCGATTATGCCGAAGAATGCATAGGAACCTGGTGGAATACATGCTTGATAATGTTTTTGTTACGAGCCAACGAAGGGGTTTACGAACAGGCTAGGCACATGCGGAAATATCTCGATGGATTCTTACCACTTTTTGCTTTTTGACTGCAAAAACACTGTCAAAAAGGAAAGAAGCCTATTCAAACAAAAGAGAGAAGAACACGCATAAGCTATTTCAGCATTGCATGCGGTTGAAGTGCTGATAATGCAGCAGGTATCCAGTGGATACCAGATGCAGGGCAAAGAGCCCCTGAGAAGGCAGTGGAACGAGCTACGCCGTCTCAGTTGCCCTTCATCTTAATGCATTCAGCGGGGGTTTCCGTTAAGAGAGAAGAAATAGCGATCTCAAATTTTTTCGGGCATGTAAATCTCTCAAATCGTGCTCAACACATATCCCGCATGTAGAACTGGCGGACATGGAATCGTTGCTCACTCAATATCAAGTCCTAGGCAGGCTCGAAACTCAACATTTTCTTCCTCTCCCGATCGCAAAAGTTGAAGACTCCCACCACAGGGGCATCCCCGTCTGTGAAGATGTGACCAGGTTGGGGGATCTCAATGGACGGGATGTCAGGTCGGGAAGATCCCGCATGCTTTTTTTTAAACCCCTCCCTCCCCCTCCCACCAAAAAAAAAACATAAATATTGCTCTTGCGGAGCGGGAGAAAATGGTCGCCTGCTTTCTCCGGAGACAAATGTCTATGTCCGACGGGTCCAACCAGCTTGTCTAACATTAATAGTTACTTTCAAAGTTGAACAAGCTCGGTTGAATTGACCCAAAGCAGTTGACACCATTCCAAATAACGAAAAAGCGTGGTAGCAAATAAAATAAACTCCTGATGCGAGAATATACATTGGCGGAAATACTGTATTGTCACGGACATTGTGCCTTTCTGGGCACATAAATACACATCGCATACGCCGGATATATTACGTGCAGCAACCAACCAATAACAAACTCAACCACAGAGTTTTAGTTAACTGGTTAGTTCCCGTTCATCATCATCATCATCATCATCATCATCGTTAAAACAGCCAACCACCAACCAAACTGCCAGTTAACTAGTTAGTTAGTTACCCCGGAGTTGACTATCCCTTGTTAACTACTCCCAACCCGCTCCCTATTAAATTTACGAGTGGTCAGGCTTTTTCACCCCCTTCAACTTTTTTCATTCCTTTTTCACATTCTTCCTCTCTCCTTTGCTCTGCTCGCCTGCTTTCTCTTTGTTTATTTTCAAAAGCGCAAAAAAAAAAAGAAAAAAAAGAAAAAAAAGAAAAAAAAGAAAAAAAGAAAAGAAAAAAAAAACAAGAAAAAAACAAGAAAAAGAAAAAGTTGTGGCGGAATGCGGTGATTTGCAAGCTCTCCTTTACCTTCTTCAGTCTCCTTCATACCGTTCCAAGCTGTTCGGCAGCCCTGATATACACAGTTTGATCCTTTGCGTGCATTGTCATGTCTTCTACCCTAGTGCCTGAGACTTGCAAGGCCTCGAAACTAGATGAAGACAACTTCGTTGCCTTTGGTCACGTTGCTGCTGGACAGTAAGTTGCTATCTCGGCGGCCCTAAGACTCGGATCTCTTTCCTTTCCTCTCTTGAATAATCACAGCTGTCTTATATTAGCTGCTGGAAAGCATCATAAGAATAAAGAAAGAAAGGAGGGAAAATCGAAGGAAACTTGTTCGCTAACTTCAAAATGCCTGCAGTGATGGTGTCCTGTGCAATCCTTCTGGTTCATTGATCGCCAAACCATGTACTCCCCAAGAAATAGAATTCTACGAGTCTGCGCCACAGCACCCCGGCTTCTGGCGATTTATGCCCAAATTCATCGGGACCCTGTCGAACGGGACGCCACAGATTGCCCTTGAGATTCCAGGCGATGATCGTGTAGCGACCTTGGCCGCTGATGCCGACCCGTCAGCCTGCTCATCCGGGACAGATACGCCTCTACCCCCACAGCTACGTAAACAATCCAACCTTGTCGCCGCCCTAGTACCTGCGACCTCGAATAGTGGGCAAGAATGGGTCCCATCCAGGGGACATAAAATCAACACCACAGTCTCTATAGTCCTTGAGAACATCGCTGCAGGATTTAAGCGACCAAGCGTATTGGATGTGAAGCTTGGCGTCAGGCTGTGGGCGGACGATTCCCCTTCTGCTAAAAGAGATAGGTTGGACCAAGTGTCAAAGGAGACTACGAGTTCCGTGTTGGGATTCCGTATTGCCGGAATGAAAGTGTGGGTGGGCAACGAGGGTGCGGAGAAAGAAGAAAAGGTCCTGGGAACCACGCAGACAAAATCACACGATACGGTAAAATCCAAGCAGGTCATTGTCGAAACAGTGGACGGGTACAGACGGTATGACAAGTGGTATGGTCGCTCACTTAACGTGGACAACGTCAAGGAGGGCTTCGAGATATTCCTTGCAGGCGCGAAGGCTGGCAAAATCGACCGGTCGAAGCTGGTTGCTAGGAGATTGGCGGAGGAGCTCCGCGCTATACAGGCGGTCCTGGAGGCGGAGGAGAGCAGGATGTATTCTGCCAGCGTGCTCATTGTTTATGAAGGGGACCCGGAAGCGCTTGAAGATGCCCTTGCCAAAGAAGCCAAAGACGACCAAAATGATAAAAATAATAAGAGTAATGGTAATGGTAAT